TTTGTAAAATCTAATTTTCTTAAATGTTTTATGTGAGGGACTGCGGATGGAAATTAGCTCAAAGCTAAATCTGGCACTGTTACACTTGACACATTTGAATGTTTTAAGTGTTCATTACTGTGCATTGTCCCTGCCAAATAAGCGATTAAATTAAATGAAAAATTGTTCCCAACGTTCTTTTGAGTGCTATTGAAAAGATTTCTGGTTTGACCTTGTAATCTGATCACTCTGCAGGGTAAGACTACGGTCAGATGGAGCTGCAATCCCTCGTCGTCGGAGTGGTGCAGAGACCCACAGCCCAACCAGAGGGGCCGACACCCCGCCACGGGCTGCAGCCTGTCCCAGCAGCCCCCACAAGGTTTCCATCAGCAAGGGGCGTATTGAGAGCCCAGAAAAGAGGCGCATAGGCACCTTTGGCAGTTCAGGAAGCATCAACTACCCAGAAAGGAAGGCCTATCCTGAGGGCCACCCTCTGAGACCGGTGCCTGGGGCCACTCGCCACAGCAGCCTCGGGGACCACAAATCACTTGAGACTGAAGCTCTGGCTGATGTAAGTGTGGGAAAGGGAGAAGACATGGGAAAATTCCTACAGACAAACAGAAGTATCTTTTGATACAATTGTTTTGTGTCCAGTAATGATATGAAGTGTCTGGTAATTATAGCATATAATAGGATTTAGAATGTTTGGTAGAATAGATCCAGGAGAGATCCAATCTGAGAGCCGCAGACCTGGAATAAATGTCAGGGTCAATGCAGCCTGGAGATAGACACAGAGGCATGGACCTGAATAACAAGTTAAAGAGCATGAAAGGTTTAAATATTCCTCATCAGCTAATTTCTGCAACATTAGATCGAAACACGATCACTTTTCAAAATGGTAAAAAAGTATATAAAATAAAACTTGTTTTAAAATTTTAAATGCAAATTGAGTTAAGCAGATACAAAACAAGAATCAATCAAATGTTCAACATTAATGTTTAGCATATTTGAACTGTAATTAAGGAGCCAACCTTTTAAGTGTCTGTATACCTGTTCACCCTGGCCTTCGGGCCCTAGCCCTTTCTTGGTCCCCCGGCTTCCTTTATTTATTTATTTTCTTTATCCTTTTGATTGACTTGTTGTTTGTTTTGTTTTTCCACCATGTACAGCGACCTTGGGTCCCTTGAAAGGCGCTATATAAATATCATTTATTATTATTATTATTATTATTATACTTATCGTTCTGTTCGTCTCCTCTACCAGGACATAGAGAAGACTATGAATACAGCGCTTCATGAGCTCCGGGAGCTGGAGCGGCAGAACACGGTAAAGCAGGCTCCTGATGTGGTGCTGGACACTCTGGAGCCCATGAAGAACCCGGTGAGCTCTGAGCCCGGCAGCCCTCTGCACACCATCATGATCCGTGACCCGGATGCAGCCATGCGCCGCAGCAGCAGCTCCACATCCGAGATGATGAGCACTTTCAAACCCGCTCTCTCCGCACGGATGGCTGGGGCTCAGCTGCGCCCCCCACCCATGAGGCCGGTGCGCCCCCCTCCCACCCAGCACCGCTCCAGCAGCTCCAGCTCTTCAGGGGTCGGCAGCCCTGCTGTGACTCCCACTGAGAAGATGTTTCCCAGTAACAGTACAGCTGCTGTTAGCGTGGGTACATCCAGTGATGCTGGAGATAAGTCCGGTACCATGTAGCAAAGGTAGAATCTGCAAGGTGGTCAGGTTGTAAAGCTTGAAGTGTGGGAAAAGCTTATGGAAATGAGTGCTGATGTGTGAGAAGCAGATATGGATATTTTCCTCTGTTTTCCGCCTGACTTAATTCATATATTCAGGAAGCTCTTGAAGCAACCCTACAATATGTTGCCATGGGGATAAAGCGGTGAAAGAAGCTGTAGAGGTGTGATAGCGCAAAGCTCAATTCTCTTTGAATCTTGATCCAACTGGAGAAAATGTTTATAAGAATACATGTAATTCAGTTTTACCTCGGTTTAAAAATAAAGAATCTCTGGCCATATTCTCGTTTCAGAGATAAAATGGATGCAAGTGAAGCAATACTTGTGTAACATTTAGTATTGCTTTGTACCGAGCACACATTGTCCAGCTGACGTTTGATTTACTCCTTCTGAAGTGTATGAAGCACCTCATCTGGACAATGTCAACATTCAGGCTAAAATACCATGTCTGCTTACCATTGAGGTCACATGCTTTATGGCTGTACATACAAACTTACTTGAAGTACCCATGCTTTCTGTTTGTACTATAATAGAGTGGATGTTAAGCAAAGTAGCCCCTTAGAGACATTCTATACTTCTGCATGCTGGGTTTGGGTCAAATTAGCAAAACATTAAGACTTGCATCATTTAGAAATGTGTAATGATGTGGGACTTTCTTATTTCCTCATTGTAAGAATAAGAAATCAGTTTGAAACTAGTTTGAAACCTAAACCTCAAGAAGAAAAATTCAGATGTACACATATTTGATTAAGAAACACATGGCGAACTCTCAGTGTTACGTTTTGAACCTGCCAGGTGTGGGGTACTCTAGATGTTGTACCTAAATCATTGCATTCACTGCTTAAAATAAACGCATCCTGGCATGAATATGATCTCTGAAGCCTGAGATGTACTAATCTGACCTTAACAAAGCAAGTCATCCTCCAATATAGTGTATTGTTGGACTGTGGGCAGACTTAACAAAACAAATACATCAACTAATGTAGGAAACCTGTGGTCAAACTGTACATAATATATAGCTAGATTCTTTTTAAGTGGTCAGTCTTGTACAAAAAAAAGACAAAAAAGGTTTGCTGTAAATGGCAATTAGAGTTAAGAACCCCATATATCTGAATATTATCATATTCAGTTAAGAACAAACATACTCTTTAACTGCTTAAAGTTCAAATAATAAACCTTGAACTATCTGCTTTTGGGAATAGTACAGTAGAAAACGGATTGCTGTTGAACGGACAAGAAGCCTGAGTACATTCTTTCTTTATTATCTTTAGACACACTGGCCCATTTTCACACTCAGTTTGTTAATCTTGAATTGTTGCCACTTCAAATTAAATTTGGGTGATATTATTTCATTATAGACATAATAAAATACCCTCCGACAGTTCCTCTTTTAAATAAAAAATGTGATACTCACCAAGAGGAACTAGCAACATTGATGTTGTGACATACTGTTATCAGATTCCTTCCTTCCTGCCTTTTTCTGCTTCTTTTTGATGAATACAGTTATGCTCTGACTGTAGACCATTTATTTTGTTGAAAGGAAACTAAACAGATACAATTCAGTGTTTATATATACCATACCTCTTGTCACTCTGACAGCTCTAGTCCAGACAGAGACCTTAATATCCGCATCCCAAAGAGTCTGCTGTGTGCTGCATGTGTTGAGCTGTACTGTCTGACTCATATTCTGCAGCAGTTAAACAATGGCTGTATGTGGTGCCTTGCCTTGGTAAGATGCACACAATAACTCAATATTGGATGTTTGTTTTTAGAGAAATGGTTCTTAACATTAACAGGGATTGGAAATGATTAATTAAACAGTTGCCAAATAGTGAAAGGAACAATGCTTGATTGAGTAAAATCAGTTTAAACATTAGCATGTAAACAAGGCCCTGATTCCACTATTAATCTGCAGTCAGTCTGTATATTCTAAAGTGTTACTGATGTACATGTAAATTGAACTCATTTGCTTGTTGTCGAGGGATTGAGTTTTAGGGAAGAGAGCTCCAACAGCCAGTAAAAAAAAAGGAAATATAGCATTTAAACTCAAACAGTGCCCTCACACCCTCTGCTGGTTCCTGCTGGTATTGCCTCTTGTGACGCACTTTCCATGGGCCTTTTAATCTGGAGCTAATATAACAATCACTAATCTTTTCCATAGTTTCATGTGTTTGCCTGGTTACAGTATTGTAACTGTTAAAATCTATGAAGAAGATGTTACTACAAAAGTCATGTTTATTAAAAAACAAAGAAAGCACACCATTTCAAAAGGGTTAAATTACCATCATTATATTTAACTAGGCTGTCTTGTATTTTATTTATAGACACTTGTTTGACACATTCTTGAGTGCCTTTTGTGCACAACATCAATTTTTATTGGACTTTTATATTTACTTTTTTTACTGTGATATGTTGTCTATAAGTTGTCATGTTTATTATAAACTGATGTTGCTTTTTTATCTTTACTTTCTACTGCTACTCAGTTGTCAAAACACCATAAGAAATGAAGCGTGTACAGATATTCCTCTCATGAATTAAAGAGTAATATTCATGAAGTGCTCGTCAGTTTTTAAGGAAGAGTTAAAGAAACTACTGTATAACAAGCTCTACTGGTGAAATTCAGTAGAATCATCTCAGAATAATTTTCTCATTTTTTAGTTTTCCCTGTGAACTGCCTGTGCTGTGGTTGAGCCGTACTCGTCATTTAGCTCCTTCCCTTCATTGCATTATTGTTGGTAACTCTTTTTACAGAGGTTATAAGGCACTTAATGCGCTGTTCTTCTGCCTACAGTACATGTGACATTTTTCAAGGAATGTATGCTGAAATGGGTAACACTGTTAATCTGCTGCCGTGAGAAGATAATAAATTAATATTGAAAAAGGACATCACAGTAAGAGCGCAGACTTTGATGTTGTGGGACCAGAGTGTGAGTTGCTGTCATACTGTTTACCTTCTCTTTAATTGTTTGTCTAGTGATGCTGTTTGTTGATGAGTGTCTGGTTGGTTGAAACCTTGTGATGTAATGTACACCATACCACTGACTGGATGTTGAAAACCCCTGCATCCAAATAAAACCATTATTGCTCTGTGATCTGGATAATGTGAGTGCATTTTTTTCTGATTTGTGGCGTTAAAAGTCTGATCTAAAGGCTGAAAGCTGAATCCTGATGGATGGAAGCATTTTTACACTGTTGATACTTCATCTTATCATTCTTTAGATTAGCGCCCTTAAACCTACCTGGTTCTCTTTTAATATGAATATTTATTATTAACAATGAAAGTCATTTTGGGTAAAACATTCTTACAATAGATATTATTAAAGTTAGGATTCAAAACATCCCAAAACATTCACAGTATTTAGTTGAATGGTGCTAAATCTAGATGCTTTAAGGTGCATGTTGACAAAACCTTTTAACTGATCTGCATCAACTTCAAATAAGTTAGAAAGGGCAGTAGGAAAAACTGAAAAAGTCTGGCATTCTTGATCAGAAAAGGGCTGATGAATACACAAGCAATACTTAAAAGGTTTAATCCTACCTTACCTCTTATTGAAATGGTAATTTTTGTTAACACATTGCATGGCAGATATAAAGACATATAACAAGTGGACTTCAAGGGCCAAGTCAGTAACAACAAAAGGTTTTTAATTAAGTTTAATATGAAAACGCTATGATTACATTTGTACATATTGGTTTGGATGGGATCTGATCAGAGAGAAGTAAATAAAGATTATGAAAGAAAACAGGTATAGGCTAATAACTCGTTCTTTACAGTAAAAGCAAGTACATTTTTATTTTATAAGCACATTACATGTTAGACGCTTTTATCCAAAGCAACTTACTTACTCAATACTGTGGGCAATCGCCACAGTGGAAATTTGGGGTGAAGTGTCTTGCCCAGGGACACAACGACATGCTGACTGCAGTGGAGTTTGAACCTGTGACCATCTGACCTCAAGACCAAGGCTCTATCCACTGCGCCACACGTCTCCCAAGCACAAGACCATAACAGCAATTTTCTCTGGACACTTTTGATTGACAGGGACACAACATAACATTGCATTGTAAACCAGCAGTGGGTGAGTGGAAAGGATGAAAACATCCCAATAAGTATTTAAATCACGTGAACCTGAGTCTGCAGTTTGCTCTGTTGCCACATGATGGAGAAGCTGCACCACAAAAGAGTTAGATGGCCATGGTTGAGTAGTCAGCACTCTGTTAGTTATAAACAAGGATTAGGAACAGGCACTGTGGTGATGGATAAGCAGAGAACAGAGTTTTGCATACATTACAAAAAGTGCTAAGTACATGATTACATCTCCCTTTGAAATTGGCTTTCTAGTTCCTTGGTCAGAGGGTGTTACACCACCAGCTCACTCTGACGGAGCATAACAATAATTTAATTTGTTCCACCTGAGAAACCACTGTTCAACAAGGATGTGTCAAACAAGACACTGTGTTTACAGTTTTCATTAGTCTGGAAGGTAACCCAACGACTAGCCACTGAAGATCTACTGGAGCTGAACTTGTTGTTTCTGACACCTGAGCTAAAGATGTCTACAGTTAAGGTGTACAATATGTGATCTCAATGTCTAAACGTTTGCATGTTGTCTAGAACAATTCTGTAAAAGTAATTTTGTTGTTATTATTCTGTTATTACAACTGAAGGATAATT